ACCTCCTACATACAAAATTAAAGACTCTAATGGAGAACAGATTAGGGGGTGGTTTTATTCTAATGATTTAATTTTAGTAAAAGAGAATTCTAAAAAGGATGAGAATTTATATGACATTAATAAAGTTTTGAAAAAAAGGAAACGCGATGGGGAAGATTATGTTTTTGTCAGTTGGAAGGGTTATGGTCCGGAACATAACAGTTGGATACCCGCTAATTCTATAACTTGGAGATAATTATACATAAATTAAAATTTAAGCTTTTTAATTTGTAAAAAAAATGACTTCATTTTATATTATTATTCCGTCTAACACAAACATAGAAGGAAATAGAACAAATTCCTTCCGAGTTAGGTTACCTCATAAGTTGCAATTTAATTCTGAGTGGCATGTCGGCCTAGCCGTTATGGTTTATCCACACTCCTGGCCGTCGTTAGGTACTAATAATGAACAAACTGTAACTGTTTATTGGAAAAGTGGGGATGTGGTTCAATTTTCTGTTCCTTCCAATACTTTAACTAATCCCCAACATTTAAAAGATAATTTAGATAGATCCTTAAACAAAGGAAGTGAAGCACTTGTTGACAAATTTCGTAACGTTCACATTGAATATACAAATAGATTAAAAGAACTTCGCACGCAGGCTAAAGATAAGTATAAACGTTTAAAAGAACTCTATCAGAAAAGGACAGAGCCAGTATCTAACGTGACTACAGAAGAACACGTAATTCTTAGTGAAGATACTGAAGTTCCTAGCTTAAAAAGTGAAGATGAAATTTTTACTGATTTGGTGAATATCGAAAATTTAAAAATGACTGATGATTTCAAACAAATTATTTCGGTAACTAACGAGGTTGGATTTGACCCTTGGATAAAAGTATTTCGTAAACCTAGATTAGCATGCAATTTTGAATTCCATAGTTATAAAAATAGGTTTTCCTTGCACATCGATAGTGAATATGTAGAAAAAATTGAATTAACTGAGCAGCTTGCATATATCTTAGGGTTTGATAGGCAAATTTTAACTGAAACTTGTATTGCAAATTTTATGCCTGATATGCGAGGAGGTGTATCCTGCTTCCACGTTTATGCACCTGGATTAATTGAACCAATGGTCATAGGCGATGTTACAGCACCAGTGCTTAGAATTGTGACAATTAGAGGTAAACAAGATGAAATAATTGAAGAACAATTTTTATGTGTTCAATACCATAAGCTACTTGTAAAAGAAATTTCTGAAATTTTTATTGAAATTAGAACTTCTAGTGGGACATTAATGCCATTCCAATATGGAACATGTACATTAACTTTACATTTTAAAAAGGCTACATACTTTTAACAATGAATAACCTTCAAATTGATAAAATATTAAAAAGAAATATTGTTACAAAAAGATTTTATATAGGATGTTTTGCTTCAGACTGTATTCCTTATAGGAGTAACTTTTTTCCGTTCTGTGTCGTAGTTAACACAGATCCTAGCAATTTATCTGGAACCCATTGGATAGCATTATTTTGCAATTCAACTAATAGTATTGAATACTATGACTCGTTAGGTATCTGGCCACCGATAAGTTATCATATTAGAACCTATTTAGATAAGTTTAACAATGTTCAATTTAATTCTGTTATGGTACAACAACCATTTTCTAGTACATGCGGGAATCATGTTATCTTTTTTCTTTATATGCGCTGCTTAGGTTTTTCAATGAATAAAATCATTTCATTACTAAAAGAATTAATGCTGATAAATTTGTATCTGAGTTTATTACTACTCAGATATTTAATATAAATAGATGACTTTAATAGTATACTTTTAACATAAAAATGCACATTGATTTTGATCCTGCAAATATAAACTGGTCAACATTAACTGAAAACCCCAATCAATGGGGCGGCTATAATGTTTTTCGTGGCGTTCCTTACCAAAGAGGTAATGGATTGGGGTCAGTTTTTAGAAGTTTTCTTCGTTATTTAATCCCGATTGGTAAAGAAATTGGTAGCGCTATTGGAAGACAGGGTTTAGAATCCGGTAATCGAGTTTTAAGCAATGTCTTAGAGGGAAAAAATCTTAAAGAATCTCTTGTTACTGAAGGTAAATCAGGCTTGAAAAACTTACTGCAAAAAGCAGCTGAAAATGTTGATAAACAAAGTGGAAAAGGTTTTGATTTTAAACGATACAAAAATATAGAAAAGTCTCCTGCCATTGGACAAATGAATGACGCAATACCGGAACTTAAACCAAAAACTATAAATAAACATCCATATTCTCGAATCGGTCCTCCAAATTTTATTCCCAATTTCAAAAAGAAATTTTCTAAAAAATCTACCAAAAAATCCCGTCCCCAAAAACGATTACGAGTAGACACGTTAGGAACATACTAAAATGAGCTGCCCAAAACAAATTAATGAAAATAGCCCGTTAGCACTAAATAGTGCACTAAGTATTTTTTCTGTACCTCCTACAAACGTTTCTGTTGTCCGATCCTTTTTTAGAGAAATTCTTCCTCTTAGTACAATAACACAAGATTCTCCGTATTTGTTTCGATTGTTCAGTGATAATCTTTGGACTGACTTGTCTCGAACTTATCTTTACCTCGAGTTATCAATTGAAAAGTTGGGAGCCAATGGCAAATGGGTTGATATTGAAGCAACAGATAATAACATTGGATCGATTCAAGGTGTTGGACAAACATTTGTTCAGCAGTTGAAGGTAACTGTTGGCAATACTGAAGTTTATGATAGTGGTACTCTTTATCCTTACAAAGCATATATTACTAATGAGTTGTCATTTCCTGACAACGTTAAATCGCATTTTCTTGCATCTATTGGATATTATAGAACCGAAAAACATGATGATCCTACAGATGATGGTTTCAAAAATCGTTGCTCTGTTTTTGCAAACGGTAAACGCTCACAATTCCTTTCGCGCCTAGATTTTGATTTGGGAAATCAAGAATTATATCTCCTTAATAATTTAGATATTCACTTTAGCATTTACAAAAGTAAGGATGCTTTTATATTACAAAATATCAAAGAAGGCGATAATAACCAATATAGACTTTATGTTCACGATGTTAAATTATTTTCGAAAATGGTTGAAGTTCAACCATCACTTAACATGAACATTTATAAGACTCTTGAATCTAAACCTGCTACGTATGCTGTTCGCCGAACTGAAATGAAATCTACTTATCTTACTTCAGGGCGAACTGAAATTGAGTATAATGCCTTCAGCTCGGCTATACCGCGGCGCATTACAGTCGCCTTAGTTTCAAATAAGGCCTTTAATGGTGATATTGCGCTTTCCCCATTCAATTTCAAACCTTTTGATATTAGGGATATCTCTGTTCATACTGGGGGGCATATTTATCCTATGGTCGCTTACAAGCTAAAGTTTGCTCAAGACTTGTTTGTTAGAGCTTTTGTGGACATGTATGAAGCTCTTGGAATGGCTAATTCAGATCGTTCCATTGATATTTCAATGTCCCGATTTAAAGATGGATGGACCTTTTTTGTGATACCTTTGACATCGACACTTGATGACTCTTGTGGTTTTGAGCTTCTCAAAAGTGGAACTACTAGTGTTCGTTTAGAATTTAATACTCCCATTCCTGCTGGAGGTGTTGAAATGATTATTTTAGGCGAATTTGACCAAATGATTATGATTGATTACAATAGACATATAGTTACAGATTCCAATCTAGGTTGAAAAGTTGTATAAATAATGATAATTTAAAATATATTAATTTTACAAATGCACAATATTTCCACCACTACCCAAAATATAACATTTGAATTTTTAAAAATTGCTAGCACGAATTTACAAGATAGTGCTTTGAATCCAACTGTAGCTTATGGAATACCATTATTACTACTACTTCATTCCATTATTCTCCCTATGATTTTAATATGTTGGATTTTACTCCTTCGAGTTCTGCGTAAACTAGGATTCATAACTTCAGTTGAAGAATCCAGCATTGCACAAAATATTAGCGAGATACCTTTAGAGGGCTTGTGTAGATCTAAAACACACTTTTCATTCCCAATTGAGCGGGTCGCCTAACGAATCAAACTAGCAATGAATTGGCTCTAGATAAAGTCTATGAAAATAATTGTTACCGGTTGAGTGCGGGTGGGTTGAGGGCGCCAAAAGTTTTTTCAAAATAAATTATCGATTGATTACCCGCCGGCCCGACTCGACACGGCCCCCGCTTCAGGCTACAGCCACCCGTGTGTCAAGAATTTCCTCAGGCCACATTTGATACCTTTTGGATTCTGATGCAATACTTTTAATCACCCAGAATCGACTTCGGAATCGCCTTCAGAATCGCCTCAGAATCCTTTCAGAATCGCTTCAGTTTCCCTTCAGAATCGCCCTCAGAATCGCTTCAGAACCACTTCAGAATCGCCCTTAGAATCGCTTCAGAATCGCTTTCAGAATCGCCCTCAGAATCGCCCTCAGAATCGCTTCAGAATCGCCCTCACTTTACTTATCCCCCGCACTACTCCATTCAACCCCCACAACCTCCTATAGGAGTGGGTTAACAAAGTATTGATCGATTAGAACAAGAGAGCCTGAAGAGACCGGTTATATGGGAACAGAGTAAATTTTTTCTCTGACTTCTCTAACCTAATAATCGGTCTCTTCAGAGCCCTCTTGTTCTAATCGATCAATACTTTAATAATGGTAATATAGTAATTCAAGGCCAAGATTCTTACATGTCTCTACATAAAATTTAATGAAAATTTTCTCAATACCCACCAGTTACAACAATATATTGTATATCTATTTCCTCAACTTGTGTATTATTTTCAAATTTTGGTCCAATCTTGATTATATAAACTAGAAATAATAATTATCATTATTTTACTTATTTTCCTTATTTACTTCTATTAATTACCCTCTCCCTATTAAATGCCCTCTCCAACCAAAGGTTGAAAATATAACTACCCAGTGTAATTATTTGAGTAAATAAGGTACTCTATGATTTTAAAATTAATTAGTTACATTGTCTTGGATAAAAATATTCTTCAGTATACATCCAATACTTGCCAGTACCTACTTTATTTAAATCTCTTTTAAAAGTCTCAATTGGTCCATTTTTTGAGACTGCACGATAAGCTTCCTTTTTAATTTTTTTTAAATTAATTTTTATTTATTTCATTAAATACCTCAATAGAAAATCCATCCTCACCCATTACACTATTTGGTTTAACTTTTAAAAATTATTTTTTGTAAAAAATTTATTTAATTACAATAGCTAACGGCACAATACATTTGCGGCCTGTTAATGTCAAAACTGACAGATGCTTTATAGACTTGAAACCTTTAAATTTATTTAAGAATAAATTAAAATATTTTCATGGTTAATTCTATAAGTAAAATAAATTTACAAATTAATTTACAAAGGAATGGATCAGAAAAAATTGAAAATTATCTTGGTAGTTAATATTGACAGATACCGATTTACGGCGGAAATGCATTAAGAAATATTATAATAATGAAACTGTCCCATTGAATCTAGCCTATCCACAGTCCATATAATCCAAAAAATTAACTATGGGAAGGATCAATTGGTTGATCAAATAATGATCAACCCTTTATTATTGCCGATCTGAGGATAATGTCGTTGCCTGTTTAATCACTGTTAAGGGTTGAGCGGTGAATAATGTCCAGACGGACTAACAACAATGATCAAAGAATTCCCTTCATATTCCGCTCATTCTTAGTTCTACTATAGGAATGTAGGCCCTTATTTATTAATTAATCCAACCATTTGCCCATAATAAGGGCAGAAGGAACATCAACAGTTTCTGCTGGATTTTGAATCATTTGGCCGATACCACTGATAATCTCAGCAAAATTTTGAATATCCCACTAAATTTACATTTAATTTGATAATTTATTTAAATAATTTACAGGATTTTCCCCAATAGCATTTACATTAATATTTAATATCAATAATGACGATATAAGATAGAATAATAATTCTGGGAACATTTTAATATCTAATGTTTTTATCTGTTTTTAAATCTTTTAATAATTAATAAACAAAAATCTATGAAAATTACTGAATAAATATTACATAGGTATCTAATGCTGGGAATTTTCAGTCGTATACATATAGTCATAAAAAGAATTTTCTCTATATTTTTGCTCTAAATTTTAATTTTTAATAATATAGGGCGCAGAAAATTTATTGAAAAATCTATCCAAAATGATTGTTAAAAATAATGAAAAAATACGTTAATGGTCATTCTCGGTTTTTTGAATGGATAACCGCAATCCACTCATTTTGCGATTAAAGTGAACTAAAAATGGAAGGATTTATTGATGGGTTTATCCCTTTTTAAATAAATTTTAATTTTTGAATTAGAGAGAGAGAGAGATTCAAACAATCTAATTGTGATGGATGAAATTATTTTAGCAAATTTTTCGATTATATTTTGGGTCAAACTTGTGATGAATCTCGATCGAAAAAATCTCGATCATTTTTAGAGAAGTCGATCCTAGATTCTTTATATTTATCGAGGTTAGTGGAGATTTATTGAGATTATTAAGATTCATAGATTTTTAAAAATTTGATCTTTTTGGATAAAATAGTAATAGAGATAGCCAAAAAATTTTGAAAAAAAATTTAAAAATTCTCTGGGACTTTCAAAATTCTCAAAAATTTTCGCCTGATGCGCTAGAAAGGAAGATTGGGTACAACTCTAGATAAATTCTCCCGAAATCCTTCCAGTTCTGTTCTGAAACTTTTAATGTAAAAAATTTTTTTATTTTTTATTAAACAATTTAATATTTTTTATCAATTTAATATAGATTAATATTTAGTTATTTTGTTTGACTTTGACCTCATACATTTTATAAAATATTTATAAAAACATCCATTCATTATTTTTTTAAAAAAGAAATTTTTTCACAAAAATCTGACAACATTTAACATACATATTTTCCTCTAATTTTTAATTTCTTATCTGCAATCATTTTATCACTAATTATTTATTTTTATTAATTAATTGATCATTATTTCCTTCAAAGTTCATTTGCATTATAATTTAGTCAATTTAAATTCTTTTTATTTTTTACAAGAACTTTGTTAATACTTATAATTAATACATATCTCCAAATAATTATAAGCTTAACATCGATTTTAGTGTTTCTATACTTATGCCGCATTAGTTGAGCTATTTTACGTGATATTTTTTAGTATTAATACCGTATATGCTCTAATAATTACCCTGGGTAATCATTGTTTCGACCTCTCGCTGGAGGGTGTAATTAATCGAGAGGATGGGCTAAATTTGGGGTATTTATATCTCAATAAATCGCGGAGGAAATCCATTTATTTTTTGATATTGATTCTTATAATGTTTCAATAATTAAAATTGACAATGATTCTTTCAATATTTTTAAAATTAGAGAAGGAAAGGGAGGGGGCAATTATTAAAGAGGGTAATTATTCGAGCATTTACGGTAAGTGAATATTGTTAATATTGTTTAAAAATTTAAAATCTTGGTTAAATATTGTTAATTATTTTATTGTTTTTAATTAGGTATTTTTAAATATTTTCATAAATATTGCTTAAAAATTTCTATTTAATCCAAATAATGACTAAAATCCGTTCTAGTTTTCTAATTTAAAACATTAAAATCTGAGTGTCGGTGCATTATTTGTCGAGGATGCACTTTAACTCCGAATTAGCCATAAAAAATAAAGATCTTAATTATCGGTATTTTTGCTAATAAATATTTTAAATTTACAATTAATTTTTAATACCCTATTTAAATTATTACCCCTCTCAATATTAAATAGCGAATTGCATGAGAAATTTGCTGTAGTAAAATTGAAAAAATGTGCAAATGCTATCATTAAAACTGGAATATTCTCCCTTTCATTTTAGGTACATTTATTGATATTTCTATATTTTTCCTTTCATTTATTTTTAGTTTTTGTTAAATTTTGTCTGTACCGATTTGGTACTTTTATCAATAAATTTTGTAAAATAAAATTTTTGTTATAAAATATTTCACGCTGCTTATATTAAATTTTCTAAGTAAAACATAATTAATTATTTTTAAAGTTCATTAAAGGAATAGAAAAAAATGCGCCGAGTACTTACTTCAACAAAACTAAAAAATTCTTCATCTGTTAATACTCTTTTTATTATCCGTAATCAAAGCAGAATTGCTTCTTCTCCTTTACAAATAAAAAATGACAAAAATAATTCTTTAAAAATACAAAAATCTTCTTTTAAAAATAATAATATTAATATAAGACAAATAAATTCTGATTCTTTTTCTGATAGGTAGATTAAGTGATTATGATGATAAATTTAGTTTTCTTGATTTTAGACATAATGGTCCTTGTGGTATGTGAAATTAAAAAATATTTTTTCTAAATTAATTTTCAAAATATATTCTAGAGTTGGAAAAACAACAAATGCTTCGTTATCTGGGATTTAAGGCAAATATTTTATTTTATGAAATAAAGCCGGGCCTCACTTGTGTATGTGACTAAATAATTCCATAAACGGGGATATAAAATTCCCCATCCGTACATGAAGATGGTGAATCCCCCCCCCTCCCCACTCTCCCACTCTCGAGTCCATTTTTTAAGATTTACAAAACTATCTGAAAAAAGGATTAGCTTTTTGTATGTTCACAGATGAGGTAAAAATCCCGGGTGAAGCTCGGGGTTGCCTCGCCTACTCCAATGGGGGTACTTTATATCATAATTTTGTCAAAAGTTGTTCTATCATATTATGCATGTTTACACACACTCAATGCACACTTAAGTGTGTGTATCTCAGTTGAGGTCCGATTATAATTCTTTGTAAAATCTTTGTATTTAATCTGTGTAATTTAAACATATTTTTTAAAAAGGATTTGGATGAGTTAACGAACACAAACGTGCCAGAAAGTATTCGTTTACGCCAAAAATTGGGAAAACAAATACCCGAGGAAGGTGTAGACGAATCTAAAATGTTAAACGAATTAAGTGAGATTGCTTCATTAAACAATCCTTACAAAACTTTTATTGGTAAATTTAGAATAAATTAATTAAAAAGGTTAAAACTATACAATTTTTAATTTATGGCCAATTTTTATCAAAGTCTTAGATTTTCCTGTTGGTAAGAGGTAATTCTCCAAAATCGAACTCTGTTACAATTAGTGTTGCTAGCTCACTCGACCCGAAACTCGAAAGATCGAGCGAGCCGAGACTTTTCACACGAAAAGCTCGAAAACGAACCGAATCGAAAAAAACCCAACTCGAAATTATTACGACCTCCTGCAGCTTGTTTTACATAGGATAAATAACTACAACCCCTTTTTATGATTCGGACCAGAATTATCTGTTTTATATATTTTTGATTAAAAATGAATTAAGTGAATAATTTTTAAAAATAATTTATTACTCATTTTATTTTAATTTTATTAATTTTTAGGTATGGGATTTTATGGTATGTTATTATTTAATATACTTCATTTATCAAAAATTTATGAGAAATAATTTTAAAGATTGTATTGTACCTTCAGTAATTGTCAAAAATATGTTTCAAAATGCTGGATGGTGATTATTTAAATTTTAAAAAAATTTAAAAAATAATCGGGGCTACTTCGTTATCCATTTTTTGCAGACCATGTATGCGGACAAATTTTACGTTCTTTACTTCTCTCCCTATGTCTAGGTTTGGCGGTTCCTGAGAAATCTTTGGATATGTATCAGGAACCGATCCGAAAACTTTTTAATATCCAACCTTTTTCGGTTTCGAATATCGCAACCGCCAAACATTCCTACGTCAACTAAATAACAAACAAGATTAATTTAATGTACATTATTATAAATAAAACCGAACAGTATTAATTTCTTACATGTTTTATTAGCTAGCGATTTTATTATGAAAATTTGAGATTACCCTGCGAAAAAATTTTTTTTAATTTTTATTACTTAAATTTCTAGGACTTCCCCATATACTCCTTATCAACCAGAAATAGCACAGGGACGCTTAGAAAGTCTTTTAAATTTCCAGACCATGATATCTGATTTAACTGGTTTACCCTTTGCAAATGCTTCAGTAAATTAAATTTAAAATAAAATTTTTTTATAAATTTCACTTAAAGTTGTTAGATGAAAGTACTGCTTGTGCTGAGGCTATTGCTTTAGCTGTTCGTGTAACTAAAAGGAGAAGTTTGTTTTTACGTTGAGAAATTCTGAAATTTTATTTCCGAGTAAAGAACAAATTTTAAATTCTTAAAATAAAAATTTGTAACATTTAAAAAAATTTTTGTCAAAAGTAAAAATTCCAAGAAAAATTCAAAAAAATCCACGAAAAAATATTTGTTCGATACTCAAAGACACTGGGGCCAAAATTTAGCCAAAAATTTCAAAAATATCATAAAAAATCTATAAAAATTCAAAGCATATTTGATCGGTTATATGCTGACAAGGCTTTACTAAAATTTTATTTTTCGCGTGTATCCTTAGAAATCGTGATTTTGATTTGAAAAAATCTTACAATTAAATTTTCTATCATGATATATTCGTAGTCACTTCTTGGAACTCTTAGTATATCCGGAACTTAACCAAACATCCGACAAGAAATATCCTCATCTTCTTCGATTTTTCGATAACTCTACTCTTAATAAATTTATTTACAGCAATCCTTTATGATACTGGATTACATCCACAAAATATTGGTGTAATGGCTACACGTTCAGCACCAATGGATATTAATTTTAAACCATTGGATATTAACGAAGGAAGTGTTAATAACAAGTTTGGGGATAATATTGCTGCAATTATTTTACAATATCCCAACACAGAAGGGTTAATTTATGAAGATTTGGATTTATTAGTTCAACATGCACATAAAAAAAAGGTGAATAGATAATTTTGAAAAATTATTGAAGTCACACTGATATAACTTCGAGTTCCAAAGCCTTTAGTGGATAAAACAAATTATGTTAAATAAATACATAAAAAGGTGCAAATATTAAAAAAGGCAAATAGAAAGCATAGGCCAGATCAGATATTATAGTTCTTATAATTAAATAATGACCTTCTTGTTTAAGTATTTATGAAGGGCATTAATATGTCAAGAGTAAGGTAATAAGTGAATAACACAAATATGTAATAGATACATATGTGTCGGGAATGATGATAAACTGAAGGCGTCAGAATCCCTTTTCACATATGAAAAACAGGGTTGGGCTGTTTTGCCATTTTGCTCTTTATAATCTGTGAGGGTCCATCCCTCATGAAAAGTTAAAATGCACGTGAATAAGCACAAACACATCCCTTCATACTTAAATAAATCTTCTATATTAATTTTTAGATTCTCGTTATAATGGTTTGCGATTTACTTTCTCTAACACTTTTACGTTCTGCCGGGGATTTGGGTGCAGATATTGCAGTAGGTAGTGCTCAGCGGTTTGGACTTCCTCTTGGTTATGGCGGGCCTCATGCTGGGTTTATGTCTGTTGCCAATTTAGCTCTGGCTAGACAAATGCCTGGAAGGATTGTTGGAGTTTCTAGGTGTTTTTGGGAAATTATTTGAGTTATTTTTTTCAAATATTTAGAGATCAACAGGGAAATATTGCTTATCGTCTAACTCTCCAAACTAGAGAACAGCATATTCGAAGAGATAAAGCAACCTCCAATATTTGCACTGCTCAAGCACTTCCTGCTAATATTTCTGCAATGTTTGTGTTTTTTAATTTGTTTGGCGGAGGGATATTGAGAGAATTTTAAGAAAAATTATTTTTGAATATTTTAAGGTATGCAATCTATCATGGACCCAATCGCTTAGCTTATATTGCCAAAAAGATACATAAAGCTACATCATTTCTTTCTCAAAGTAATATGATTTTATTCAGATTCTGTACTAATTTAATGTTTCCCTCCTCACCAGAGGTGGGTCTGAACAGTCAGAGGTGTCGGAAATCGGAAGAGCCGGAAATCGGTACTGGCTCAAAAGTCGGAACTTGGAAATCGGAAATCAAAATTTTTTCGGAAATCGGAAGGAAAAAAACGCCTGAAGTATGAATTCCGTATTTCGACCCACCTCTGCTCCTCACATCAATTTTCCTTTTTACTATCAATCATTTATTTCCCTCCTTTTAGTGACAAACATTTGTTCCCCTCATTAACATTCATTTTGATGAAGTTTCCCTTAATTAAAATAATGGAGGAAAAAATGAATGAAAGTTTTGCGCCGCCATAATTTATAAAAAATATTTACAGTCGGACCTAATTATAGTGTACTCCTTAAAAAAATGGTATCCATGAGCTGAAGGAATTTCGGGAAGTACAATATTTCGGGAAGTACAATAGCCCACTCTAATAAACCGACACTCTAGAGGAAGGTTTAAAAATAAACCAACACCCTAGAAGGGTCATCTTCAAAGAACTTGACTTTCAAATCAGGATAAATGGTCTACTACCCCTATTCAGACATGATTTTCTGCCAGAAGAGGATTCACTATAGTGTAGGGTTGTCGGGTCAAGATATCAGGTTCTTAAAAAGGCCGGATAGCCGAAAATTTTAGGTCGGATATCGGATCCGGATCTTGATATCCGAAGATCTCCAACTATCCTACATCTTCTATAGTGAGGTCCGGCTGTAGTTTTTCATAATTATTAATGATAGTGGCGGCGCAAAAGTCGTCCGGCGCAAAAGTCGCGGCGCAAAAGTCCCCCGGCGCAAAAGTCGCTCGGCGCATAAGTCGCGGCGCAAATGTTCTCGGCGCAAAAGTCACGGAACCTTAAATAAGTACCCAGAATAAATATTTATCTTCTGATAATTAAAAATTAATTTTTTAAGCCTTAAAAGCTAATGGAATTCAAGTTGTCCATAAATGTTTTTTCGATACATTAAAAGTCCTTCCATTAAATAAACATTTATTTGATATGAAATGTGAGGAAAAAAGAATAAATGTTAGAAATTATAATGATGGTTATATCGGTATTTCTTTGGATGAAACAACTAAAAGTAATTTTTAAAAAAATATTTTTTTAAATAATTTTTATAAAGTTGGTGATATTTGTGATATTCTTTATTTATTTGGAATTAATATTTGTGAGGTATATTGTTTCTTGATTTCATATCATTAATTAGTTATAGTAGATTGTTTTATTTATGCGCAAAGGGCTCATTATTTATCTGACAACCCATTATAATCAGAGCTTGACATTATTGTAGGGACTTGTATCCATGGTTGTTTCGTACAAACTAACCCTGGGACGTTTTTCAGACAAGACCCAGTCCAGAAACCTCGCTCCACCCCAAAACAGATTTTATCAAAATATACACTTTACGGTCTACCGTTCCTTGAAACCCCGACCCTGGTCAGTGTTTATGAGTTCTACTTACATATAATTAAATTAATTAAATTCTTTTTAGAAAGAAATTAAAAATAAAGTAATGGAAACTTCAACACCCTTAATTGGTAATTCTCTACATTCTAGACATTCACCTTTTTTAACTGGGCATGTATTTAATAGTTATCATAGTGAAACACAAATTATTAGGTGAATAATTTTTAATAATTTTATCAAATTTTAAAATTGAAAAGTTATTTCCAAAAAAATACCTTTTCCACACCCTTCTTTATCAGTATGGCCAGTATTTAAAAATCCTTAATTTGCTCTCTTAATATTTTTAACTACATATGTTAAATACCAACTAACACGGTCATTTAACCACATTGCCAGTTAAGCCTATTATATACATTATTTATCATTGTACCTTTAAAGCCGCAGTCATAAGTTCATTTAATCCTAGGTAGGGACTAGACCTTATTTTTTCTGTACTTGCGGACATGGATACAATTTTGGCACGAATAAATGATTATGGCAAAAAACAAACTTTTCCAAACGAAAAATATTTTTATTAATAACTTTAAATAGAGACCGGACCGAGACATGATCTCGATCGAGAATCACGGTTATCGAGAATCGGTATTTTCCGAGATCTAGATTCCTGTACAACACTCCCAGTCCGGTCTCTAATTTTAACTACCTATAATTTATTTAAAGATATATGAAAAGACTTGAAAACAAAGATCTCTCACTTGTACATTCAATGGTTAAAATAATTTTATTTTCGATTTAATTTTCGAAATTATAGATTCCCCTAGGTTCTTGTACAATGAAATTAAATGCAAGTTGTGAATTAATTCCAGTAAATCTTTTAAAACTCTGTTTAAATTAAAAAAAAATTATTTAAAGATAAGCTGGCCAAAATTTGCTAATATTCACCCATTTGTACCCACAGAACAAGCAAAAGGATATTTTAAAGTAATTTGGAATTAATTAGTGTAATTCTTATTTTTGTTAGATTTTTAATTATTTGGAACGTTGGTTGTGTGAACTTACTGGTTATGATAAATTCTCTTTACAGCCTAATAGGTACTAGTAAATAATTATTATAATATTAAAAATAATTGTCATGATGCGTCGACAATTTTCAATTTTTTAAATCTAGTAAATTTAAATGAAAATATATAAGGTTAGATAACAGCGCTGGGCGAAATCTAAAATAAACAGCGAAGTCCAAAACTTTTCGAGCTGAAAAATGTGAAATATGCGAAAGATCCCCCTTACTTCCCCTCCCTCAGTCTATTTTTTGTTTTATTCGTAAAGCTCTTCGAGCAGGGTTGAATGCAGAATTAGCCAGTGGAAAATCTCCGAGTGTGTCAATGTGTCAATAGTGAGACACTTTTTTTACTAGTCTCCTAACTAGTCAAATTTTTAGGGCTAAAAATCCAATAAGTCGTAGAGAGTGAATCTAAAATTATTTTCAGTCTAACCCTATCGAACTACTTATTTTTTGATTTCTAAAAATTTTTTAGAAGGAAATATCCTTTTATCAAATTATTTCAAATTTTTTAGTGGAGCTAATGGTGAATATGCTGGTATGTTGGCAATTCGTAGCTATTTCCATTCTAAAGGAGAAAGCCAAAGAAATGTAGATTTGATTAGGAAAAAAGTTCTTTAAAATAAATTTATTAAAATTTAAAGATTTGTTTAATCCCTGTATCTGCCCATGGAACTAACCCAGCAACTGCACATATGGCTAATTTTAAAGTTGTTCCAGTTGAATCAGATAAACATGGAAATATTAATTTTAAAGATCTCTCTGATAAAGTAAAAAAATTAACAAAATTAATATTCAATAAATATATTTAAGTGTGAACGTTATTCTAATGAATTAGCTTGTGCAATGATTACATATCCTGTAAGATATTTTTTTCAAAAATTAATCAAAGCATTAAAATTATTATTATTTTATCTTACACCCCCCCCCTCCCCCCAATTAAAAATTAATTTTTTAAAATTAACAACAAAAAACTAAAATTATAAAATCTGTATGGTTGTCAGTAGTGTGGGACAAAACCGTTTAGCTAAACGGAATATTAAACAAGTTTTTTGGTAAAATTAAACACAACGGTATACGTGTCTCAAATAAACTTATTAAACGGTCTAGGTTGAAGCCTTACTTATCCAAAGTTATAATACACACGCACAATATATTTACGTAGGGTTGTCGGTTCTTGGAAAATTTTCGGATATCCGGAACCGAACCGAAGAACCGAACCGAAAATTTCGGATATCCGGATCCGAACCGGTATCCGAACCGAAAAATCATCGGTTCTTCGGTTCGGTTCGGTTCGGTCCAGAACCGACAACCCTATATTTACGTATAACAACAAAATTCAAAACTAAGTTCTCAAAAGAAGATATTTAATTCTTTAATTTATTAAATATAACCCTAACTTTTTTTAAAAATTATTTATTTAATTTTTTAATATTTTAAGTCAACTCATGGAGTTTTTGAATCACAAATTAAAGTAGTTTGCAATAAAATACACGAACATGGTTAAATTATTTAAATATAATTTTTGAAAAAATTATTTTCAAAGGAGGTCAAGTTTATTTGGATGGTGCTAATTTTAATGCCCAGGCATGCCTTTGTAGACCTGGAGATTATGGAAGTGATATTTCCCATTTTAATTTACACAAAACTTTTTGTATACCTCATGGTGGCGGAGGACCAGGAATGGGACCAATTGGAGTGTATGTGTAGATATTATTAGAAAATATATGGAAATATGGGGAGAGTTGAGTATTTTGTCAAATGAAAACATTAATTGTTTTATGGGAAAATTTTAAATGAAAATTTTAAATTAAGTTCATTTAATAATCTTAAACAAACATTTGACCCAATAATTAAATGTTGAATGAGGACAGTCCGGTTTTTAATAAATTTCTGGGAAAAGACTGGTCCTAAGTTAATTTTGGGAAAAGGACTGAACAAGGTCTAGAACATACTCTTGTTCGAAAGAATTTCTAGTGGGATCTTTCATGGGCTTGTGCTATCACTTGGCTTAGGTCCAACTTGGTTCATGGAAATTTTCAGTCTTTAACACCTCTAGAATTTATCCACGAAATAGCTCCAAGATTTCCTTCCAAACCAAAACAAACTTCCCATCAAATTCAAATAAATTATTTAAGTAAATCACATCTTGCACCTTTCCTGCCTGGACATCCAATAATACCACAAAATGGAGAACGATTTGATGGCGTTGTGAGCGGTGCACCTTGGGGAAGTGCCAGTATTTTGCCAATTACTTGGGCATATATTAGATTGTAAAACTATTTTTTTGATATTTATTTTTTAAACTCTTTTTTTAAAGAATGGGTATTTCTGGTCTAAAAACTGCCTCCCAAACAGCTATTCTTAATGCTATTTATATGGCAAAAAGATTAGAAAATGCTGGTTATCGAGTTGTTTATAGAGACGAACAAGGCTTAAACGCTCATGAATTTATTATAGACTGTAAACCTTTCAAGCATGTTGGTATTGAAGTAGATGATATAGCTAAACGTTTAATGGATTTTGGATTTCATGCACCAACAATGCATTGGCTAGATTTTTAAATTTATTATTAGAGAAGAAACTTAAAATATTCTGTAGGCCGATTCGTGATAGTTTAATGATCGAACCAACAGAGAGTGAGGACAAAGCAGAATTGGATCGGTACTGTGAGTCTTTAATTGCAATCAAACAAGAAATAGAGCAAATAGCTAAAGGACAACTACACGTTGATCTCTACAAAGTAGGGATGAAAATATTGAACTACTAATTTTTGTGATTCAGAATGCCCCACACACCCAAGCAGTTTTGATGGCCGACATTTGGGACAGACCTTACAGTCGAGAACAAGCTGGTTGGCCAAAGCCATGGTGTCTTACTCCAAGAAAGGTATGGCCATCCTGTGGAAGAATTGATGATTCTTTTGGTGATAGAAATTTAGTATGCATGTGTCCTTCAGTTGAAGAATTGGCACATCAATAAGATTTATGATTTTTGAATTTACTAATGTCCTATTTTTTCTTTTAAATAAATACGTTGAAGAAATGGGAAGAATCCACAGTTGTGGGTCACTAGGCTGCGCCACATAGTGCTGCCACTGAAAGCGGGGCCATTAGAGTTAAATAACCTCGACGATTTTTCTCAAACCCCAGTATAATAGTAAAGTTTAATGGGGACTCGAACGTTGGGTCTCCAGTTCCCGCAAGCGGGAACCGGAGACGCGTTCGAGCGTCCATTAAACATTACTATTATATGGAGGTCCTAGGCGGATTAGTTTCAGCTATAATTTTAGCAATTTCCAATTGTTGATTCCTATTTTGACATGTACTTTTCCACTGTTCTCTCATTATTTGTTCTCTAGCTTGTGCTTCTTCCCATGACAAAAAATTTAAACGACTTTTTTCATGATTATCCTTAATTTTATTATAGCGTTTTTTTGTGCTTCCTCGGGATCAAACAATTCTCTTTTATTTAAAGGGGTAAAAGTCGGTAAAATTTTTAAATCTTCATCCCAATATCCAGGTTCTCCTTTTGGTCCAGGTAATCCATTCTTTCCATTAATACCAGGGCTTCCTTTGTCTCCTTTAGGTCCAATCGGACCCCGAGGTCCTTGTAAGCCATCCAGTCCATCTTTCCCATTCAGTCCGGGCAATCCTTCTTTTCCTGGCCTTCCAGGTATTCCAATATCGCCTTTCTCGCCTTTAAGCCCTGGAGCAGCGTCCTGGCCCGATGCTCCTTATGATCCTCTCGGTCCAGTATAACCCATATCTCCTTTTTCTCCAGGTGCTCCCTTCATTCCTCTAGGTCCAGTATATCCCATGTCTCCCTTTTCTCCGGGTGCTCCAGGTCTTCCATCTGGGCCCGGTATACCTCGATCCCCTTTCAAATAATTATTTTTAATTTGTTGTTGAACTGGGAGACGATAATTTGGATCAATAGTAGGTGTTGTATACATTATTTTATTATGAATAGGTGTTGTTGTTGTACTTAATATTGGCTTTTTTGTGGTTAATATTGGACGATTTGTTGTCTTTATTGGTTTAATAGTTGGTGGAATTGGTGTTGTTGTAGTAGTCGTGGTAGTAGTACGTCTAAAATTTTGTTTTTTTGTAACTTGCCTTTTTTGAATAATTCTTTCTGTTGTATTTAATAATAATATATAAACGTCATTGTCCATTGGCCAAGCTTCATCGGGAACTCCTAACACATCTGAACTTTTTGTAATGTTCTCGGACGGCGCGAAAACATATTGTAATTCATTAATTTTAACTAATCCATTTACAGAATTATTTTTGTAAAATATTTCTGCTTGTACTGGGCCAAATGAATAATGTGTATAAATATAATCTTCAGATGGAGCGTTCCAAACAATAACCGAAAATAATTTTTCTTTATCTGTAAAAGAACCATTTATAGTATGAGCCTCAACAGATTTCGAGACTCCAAAACTGGTCTCGAATCTTTTGTTCATTAATGCACCCTCTCCTTCTTCCAGAAAATAATGTCTATCCATAACACATTGCTGTCCAAACCACGCATATTTTAAGTCATTATAAAATATTATTGACCATAACACTTCATTAATTCTTTTTAATTTTGTACTTTTATATAGATTCCAACAACTTTCAGGACTTAATGAAAAACTTTCTTTTTTAACTGGTAAATCTTCCCGATATAACAAAATAGAATTTGTACATTTAACTTGCTTCTCCATCCAACATCGGTAAGTCGGAAAATACCTTGGGACAAGTTTTGGCAAAAATAAAGTGACATTTTTAATTTCCATCTGATGAGTCAGCGATAAAGTACAGTCCTCGACCTCGATTAACATTTGCTCCTCTCCAATTGTTATAATTTTGAAAATTATTTCTATTATTAGAATATTGCTCTCGATTATAATTATTTTTTTGGTTCCAATTGCCACGAGTATTAAAATTTCCTCTCCAATTATTATAATTTCCCCGAAAGGTTGTGTTGTCATGCGATTATCAAATTTCTCCTTTAGTTCATTTACCTGCGCTTTTACAGCGTTAACTTCAAGTATAGCCTTTTCAGATAATTTATTTTGATATGACCTCATTCTATCCTCTTTCAAAGCATTTTGCACCTCCTCAATCTGTTTGGCTTGGTTAATAGTGTCTTCTAGTGTATCCGTTGTAATAAATGCCAATTTTTCCTTAATTTCCAATTTAATTCCATTTTTGAAATAGTCTTTAGCAAGGTCATCTCTCCAATCTTTAATTCTCTGAGTTCTCGCCTCTTCCGTCTCAAGAACAACTTTTTTAAAGGAATTTTCTGGAAAAGCCTTGTTTATTAGACCGCGAATAACCTGCGCAAATTCAATTATAGATTCATTAGATTTTTGTTTTCTGTTAGTCAACATCCTACGCGCTGATTCTTTTGTATTTAATTTTTTCAATTTTATCGCCAAGGCGTCTGTCAATCCTTTCCACGTATTTTTAGAGTCCGCGCCCAAAGAATCATATATCGCGCGAGCTTCCTCCAACAGATATAAAGGTAATATTTGGGTGCAACGCGTCCCACTCCACTGATGTGCGGTGGCAATCTTATTGAATCTACGAAGGTAAGCCTCAAAATCCTCTATTCCCGAATAAAATTCTGGAAGAGGTAATCCTTCACGCATTCTGTTTATTCCAAGTTTGGCGATTTCCTTTTCAAGCGCCGCGAGCTTTTGTTGTAATTCCCGCTCATTTAATTGGCCTTTTCTTAAAGGCGTTTTCCCTTCTTCATCAGCAGTGTGCATGTCATCATCAGTTCCAACTTCCTCCTCCATTTTATATTTAATATTTTAAAAATAATTTAATATAATTTGTTTGAAGTATTCCAAATATGTATTTTCACTTTATTCAATAATTATAATTAATTCAATTAATAATTCGAAGCCTGTATTTAAATAAATTTAATTAAATAATTTTTATTTTATTATATGTTGTTAATTTTAAAATAAAATTTTTATGTTGTAACTGTTGTTCAAATAATGTGTTTCAATATAAGCTGTAGTTTAAAATATCTTTTATTTGTTGTTAAATACATGTTGGTGTTAGAATAATTAATTACATAAACAATTTAAAAATTAATCCAATAGTCACAGCCATAATAAATTCTAATCAAATCACTTTTTTTTAAATTAAAATTATTTTAGTTTTAATAAACTCGTGGTCCGACACCAGATAACTCCGGCCGTAGTTAAAAGGTGTAAGAGTCACGTTAATCTTTTATTTTTGTTGATCAACTAATTAATTTATTTTTTATTTCCATTTTATTTTTGGGCCCATATGATTTTTTGGTGTGATCTCCCTTTTTAGATTTTTAGATTTATTGGATGTTCTTTGGACTTATTTTATATTAAAATTTGTATTTTGTGTTATGTAATTCTGACTATTTATTTTAAATAATTCTGTTTTTGTATTTTGTTTTAAATTAATTTTGATTTTGTATTATAATTCACATTTTTGTGTTTTATTTTAATTATAATTTTTAAGTGGAATTTGAAGAGGTTGACTGTCCCACGGACTTAAAATGTGCCCAACGTTGTTTTGGACCAGTTGAATGGAATGAGCCAATTATTTGTTCAAAAACTCGGCCTGTAGTTACAACTGAGGCGGAAGATAAACAAGAAAAACAATTCTCACACTTCACTTTTATATAATTTACGCCCTCCTTGGTTTGATCCTGGTTTCCATCCTTATTTTGGCTTATTTTTTCTCAAAACCTCGTCCAATAATTCACGGACGTACCATTCCCAAAACAACTCCAACTACCAATAAAACCAATAACCTTAAACCCAAACCGATTTTTATATCGGCAGTATAACTCCTTAATAAAGCAAATATTTTGTTAATTTAAAAATTAATTTGTTGAGATTATGTGCTTGTTGATCATTCAATTGTTAAAATAATTAATTTTAATACAATAAATAAATTTGTTGATTTAAAAATATTAAAGCCTTGTGATTTAAAATAATCCCTTAAACAATCAACCAACCAATAAACGTAAATATTTTTTGCGTGGGAGTAATAAACACTTGTTTCAAGAAAGTAATAACATATCCAATGAAGTACAATCCCCAAAATTTAAAATTAAATCAAGACAGAAAATGTCTATATTATGAATAGAAACATTAAAAATTGTTGTAATAAAATAATTATTAATAAGTTGAGATTTATAAGTTGGAATAATAAATTTAATAGATCGAAATAAAATATTGTTGAGAGTTGAATCCAGTTAGCGATACGGTCATTCTAGGACCTCCATATAATAGTAAAGTTTAATGGGGACTCGAACGTTGGGTCTCAGGTTCCCGCAAGCGGGAACCGGAGACGCGTTCGAGCGTCTTTTTTTTAGGTTAAACCTCTACTTTTCTTTTAACAAAAATTTATTCTTTTGGGAGTATTTTGATTTTAAAAAAATATAAGAATGAAATGAAGAAATCGTGGATGAGGAAAAAAGTTTAGTGACAGCTGTTCTTTTTCCTATCACACCCAGGAACCACAAACAAGCACTGTAGAAGTTGTTGCAAAAACGGGAACAATGTTCAAATCCAATTTTTAAATTTACACGGCCAAATTAGTGACGCGCCCTAGTGGTTTTTTTTCTATAATTTAAGAAAAATTTTTTTCTATAATTTAAAAATACATTATATTTAAAAATAAATAAATCAAAAAATAATTTTCTTAAAATTACATTTTAGTTTCGGTCTTTTTTAATTATTTTCCTCTTTTAATTTAAAAATTTCATTAATTGATGGTATTCTAATAAGATTCTTGTCATTATTTTTATTTCTTTTCATTAAATATTTTACTTATTTGAGGCCATTTAATTAACTTTATATTTTTAATTTGTTTGGTATTTTGATTTAATATTTCATTGTTAATATTTTCATTATTTGATTTCTGAGTAAGCTGATTATAGCTTTGATCTAAAAATTAACATTTAATGTTTTCATTTATTTTAGAACCAAGAATTCCGATCTAATTATTCTATAATTAAATTTTACACTACATATTCTCGGTATTTATCGATACGGTACAATTTAGAAGTTCATCGGCATTCCGTATCGAAATTCCGAGTTCTATTTATTTATTACCTAATTTACTTTTTATATGTTGATTTTGCAAAATTGTATTAATATGATTTTGTTTAAATTGCTCTTCAAATTTAATACCAAGACGAGATTCAATCCTTAAATTATCTTATATTTATTAGGTATCGGATTTTTAGGTTTAAACTCTTAAAATAGTTACCTAAATATGTAGGCTGATTAACGTGTCCAATTATGTCAATAAATGAAATAATAGATTGCTAAAGCAGGATTTTTTAAAAATATTGGCGGATTAAAACTCGGAATTTCTATACGGTATTCGGGAAAACCCTTTACGTAATCCCTCCTCTGCTACACCCTGGTCAACATTTTTTTACAAAAGACAATAGGTTATAACCTAAAAACACGGCTCCTAATAATTGTATAATCAAATTTGATTTACATACATATTTTCTAATTCAAAATGGTTCGAATAAATTCCATAAAGTAACTGATTAGTAAATCCATTTTTATTACTTATTTTTCCCATATGAAAGTTGAGAGTAGAAATAAATTCATTAATATAATTGGGATTTGAAGAACATGAATCCTCTTTAAAATTGAGACCAACTAGCCAAATGACGCGAAGCATTTGAATGCTTTAAAAATTTTTTGAGAATGATATTGTTAATAGGTTTTAAGGGATGGTTAAAAGCGGAATGCGGTGGCTTTGAAAAGGAAGAAAATAAAAAAGAAAGATGAAAGCTGAAGAGAGCTAATCCTGTTGAGAGGTTATAAGCTTTGTTTGGGAGCACGACTAAATTTTGAGGTACGACTACGAGTACGAGGGAAAAAGGCCTCGAGAGAAGAAATAAATTCCACTAAAAACCGGTTTGGTTTTTAGTCAAATAAAATTCTATGTAGTCTTTATGAGGAATTTATAAGAGAAAGTTTCGAATTTCAAAATAAATTTTTAATCGAGACTGGATCACGACAAGATCCCGAGCAAAATTTCGGTATCGGAATTTCGGTATCGGGATATCTAATACGCTTCTGGTCCTACAGTTTTTTGTTTTTCGAGATTCGAAATTTTTCTAGTATCTTTTACGATCCACGTGCACACTCCCGATCTCTGGTTTTTAATTTTATTTACTTTTTATTATTCATCCGCCTTTTTCTTGCATATCCACTTAAAGCATGATAGTTATTCAATCTATCTTTTAAAATAATTGTTTGTTTATTTTTTGTTTGAATAACTGTTTTTTCTACCCAACGATACAGAAGAGTTCTAACTCTAGTTTTTAATTGTCCACAATTTGGAGGAGAAACTGATGAAAATTCTTTTTGATTTTCATCATTAATGTCTTTAAATGATGTACATTCTAATAACAAAAAATGACAAAATTTATTTTTATAATCTAATTGTTTGAAAATTAAATTATTTTCATCAAGATTTTTAGAAGAATTTTTATCTGTTCCTTCAATCAGAATTTTGTAGGCTAAAATATAAAAACATTGTTTAAAAAAGAATAAATATAATCAGCTCACGAATGTTAAAAATATTCTTTTATTATTTGTCATTTTACAGGGCAAAACAAAATACACAAATTATCTTGATATATTAAAATGTTTATTGATTCCATAGAGATAGAAAGTTAAAAGTATATCCCCGCATATGAATGATCATGAAGCCTCTGCGTATTCTAAGAACGGGGTAGGGATTCTTGGAATTTTTAACCCGAGGAGGGTTAAAAAGTCACCATTTACAGATTCTTCACTGACTAATCGGGGTGCGGTTTTACATTTAATAGATCTTAAGCCCATGCCGACAAAGAATTTTAGTCACTAGCTTGCTAAATTTACATTCATTCTTCCTTATATTAGAATAATTTCGAAGTAATTTTATCTTTAACCCACATATTTTTGTTCAATTATTAAAAGCATTTCTGCAACAGAAATTATGAAAAATTACCTCTATTAATCTCTAATTTGATAATATTCAATGTATGGTTATTAACATTATAAGCTGCATTTTGATTTGGAAAAAGTGAAGTAATTACAGGCATTTTGTCACCATCGTGATATTCTGATGGCAACAAATTTTTTAAATTCCAATTTTGAAAAATGTTTTTTGAATTTACTAATGAATCCAAAATTACTGGAATTGGCCAAGGCCTAAATTAGCAAAATTATAAAGAATAAACAGATTATTATCTCTGATAAGTTATTAATTGGTTATTAACTCTTAATTTTCGGTTTCTCGTTTTATATACCGTATTTGCTGAAATAATGTCCCTCTCTCAAATAATTATCCCCGCCCTATTAATTACCCCTTACAGCCAGAGATCGAAAAAATAATTACCCCTCTTAAAAATTGTTATAATTAGCCTTTTTTTAAAAAAAGCTCAAATAATTACCCTTTCCGTTTTAATCACCCCCTCCATCGAGAGGTTGAAACAATAATTACCCTGGGTAATTATCTTAGCAAATACGGTAAATATTGCTTTAATTTTGGGGGAATTTTTATTAAAAATCACTTATTTTCAAAAATCTCGGCCAGGCACTTTTATCTCAAAAGTAACCATTTCTAACGAAAATTACAAGATTTGCTCGAATACATTGAGAGTTAATTATTCTCACGCTAGAGAGTAATTATTTGAGGAGGGTAATTAGAATAGGTTAATTTTTTAGATTTTTTGCCAAATTTATTTAAATAAACAGACCAAATGCTATAAATTAGGAAGAATTGTCTTAACAAAAATAGTAAATTTTCATTAGGATATAAAAGACAAATCTTCGCTGTCATTATTAATAAAATTGTGCCGCTTAGATAACCAAAAATGTTTGAATAAATTTGTCGAGCTAAATAAATTTCTTATTGTTAGTTATAAAATAATTTGAACCTTTTGCCCATTGTTTAACAACGCGCAATAAATTAGTAAACATTTCCTCACGTTCAAGATTTATTAGAGAAAATTTTGTTCGGTATGACATTCTATAACCTTTAAAAATATTTATCTTTAAATTTTAAATTGTCTTGGATATTATTTTAAATGTTAAAAAATCTAAGGCATATTCGTTTCTTGCCTATGCAATGATGTCTTTTGCGCGAGCATTATATGTTAAGAAAACTACAAATCCCCGGGTTTTTAGCTGTATTAGCTAGGTTCTGGCCAACCCAATAGCTCTCCCTAGCGAACATAATTGTAATATTTGCATAGGTTAGATTTACAGAATTTTTCCAGCATACTTTTGTTTTACCAATATATTTAACAAAAAAGTATTTTTAAAATATAATTTATTAGAAACAAGCCTGTAAGAATCAAAATACTCTGAAAATGTTGAGAATCATTTAAATTATCCATTCGTTCAATTAATTCATTTAATATGTAAATATTTTCTTTAATAACTTCTTTATTATTATGTTCCGACAATTTTAATTCTGCAGGAATTGAGGTAACTGGAAGTTGTGCAAACATAATATCCATTTCGTGCCCTTCTATTACTAATTCTATGAGAGGTACACGGGCATTGGCTATTGAATTGATATTGAATAAATCACAATTGAAATTCTATAATCATGAAATATTTTTAATGAACTTGATAATATTATAAAATTCCAAGGTTGGCGATCTTGGGAGATTCCATGATATCCTGACCCAATCCGAAATTTATGGATCAGACACGAAAACTTTTTAACTTGTGAAAAATTCCGGTAACAGATTGGATCTCAGGAATAGTTTCCATGGAACAACGCGACAGGAATATATAAAATACAGTTTAGCTTAATTTCAACACAGCTGCCGAAAATTTTTAGAATTTTCTATGGCCAATAGAACTAGATTATCAAGGAAATATATCTTTAAATCCCAAATGTCAATTAAGATTATTTTTAATAAATATTCTCTTTAATTTTCAAATATGTTCTTTATAAAGTAAAATTTCCATACCAAACTTCTTGAATACTCCTCCTCTAATTCTTTAGCCAAATAAAAATAAAAGGAATTTTCATTATTTCCAAAAATTAAATCGTTTCTTGATTGTTCCTCTACGGTATCACAAAAATTTAATGAAGGTATTAAGAAAATAATGTCAATATCAGAATTATCTGTAGCTGTATCCAAGAGTATGGATCCTCCAACAATCATCGAAAATCCTTTAACATGTATAAATAAATTATTTTACACACATTTTAATAAGTTGAAAAAAATATGTACAGAAAATCAAAAACATGTGCAAATATTATATGCATTAAAGAACATGCATCGAAAATTTTTGAAATTCTCTCACATGGCGTAGCCGCATACAAAACGTGCATTTGCATATTTTCTCCACCCATAATTATAGTATAATTTATTTACCTCCATATTTCCTAGAATTATTTTTACAAATTATTTTTAGCCATTTCTCAAATTTTGCTTTTAACCAATTTAAACAATTTTCTCTCGATTTTAATATTCCTTCACTTATTTTATATAATTTATCAAAATATGTTAAATCAAAATTTTTATTTTCAATATTATACGCTTGATTGTATTCATAAAACTTTGGGGAGAGCCATTTAGTTTTTTCTAATGGGATAATTTTTGTAGGTAAAGTGCCATTCTCGATAAGAGAATAAATCTCCTTTTGTAAATTATCATCTAAAAAATTAATGATAAAATATAGCTGATATGGAATATTAAAAAATTGTGTAAAAGAACATTTAGGTAAATGCTTTAATAAAACCTTATATGTAAAAGCAGAATTTATTACGACATTGAATCAAGAAAACTCGAACTACTTCAGTCTTAGCTATATTAATTTACGAATAAGAGTAATTAGCTAAGCTCTTGTCATCGCTATAATTCTACAGGGTGCGCCATAAGTAATTGCACACTTTTAAATACCTTATAACTTTTTTCGTTGTCAATATTTTTAATTGATTTTAGGCTTATTTTTTAGCTCATTCAATTCTCTATTATGGCTAGTCAACGTGATTCTATAATCTCACTTTTTTTTGCAAAAAAAAATCAGTCCGCAAAATTTCATCTCTTTTGATTGTGGCACGCATGTCCGGACATTCTTTTCACAAACGAAAAAATTTTTACAATAAAAATCGTACACAACCATCAAAATTATAGAATCTGGACTACAGAATCTCCTCTTTCCGATAAGCTTATCACACATTCCCAACATCCCCGATCTGTCATGGTTTGGGCCGGTATTTGCGCGTAAGTCAAAAAGCCCCTTATTTTCGTGGATTTTGGTGTAAAAGTCAACAAAGACTATTACTTGCGATAATTTTTTCAGCGTGTTCTGAAGCCTCGGTTCAAGAGCCATTTCGGTCGCAGAGTCTGGATTTTCCAACAGGACAATGCTCCGGTACGAAAGGCGAAAGACGAAACGGCACACCCCTGTCCGGTACACAAAGCGAAAAAAGTTCATGACTGTTGCAGGGCAAATTTTCCTAGGTTCATTGGTGCTCAGGAATGGCCGCCCTACTCCTCGGATTTGAATCCGATGGATTATTCTGTTTGGTCTATTTTGGAGTCCAGGGTCTGTGCTATGCCTCACAAAAGTTTGGAGTCTCTGCGCCACTCTCTCACCCGAGAGTGGGACTTATTACACTTAAAGAGGTGCGTGCTATTAGCGAAAATTTTTCTTCACGCCTTCGCCTCTGGATCAAAGCCAAGGGTGGGCATTTCGAATCTTCTTGATTATTATTGTTCCTTATTTAATTCGCTATCATTTGATTGTATTTCGATTTTATTTGATTGTGTTTTAATAAAGTTATGAGAGATAACAAGTGTGCAATTACTTATGGCGCACCCTGTAGTTAGGTCTTGACCGAATATTCCAAAAAACAGACAACTCTAATGCTAAGTAAATAAGAT